ACAATGGTGAATGGCATGTTCCCCAGATGCTCTGCTCCTGGTAGCTGCTGATCATCTGGCTCCAGCTTTTTTGCATCCAATGCCTACCCTATGGCTGAGCCTGCAAATACACCCCCATCACTTGACCGTCCATACTCGCCAATATGGACTAGATATTCAGCATCGACCACAGCCAATAATACTACAGGGAATGTTTTTTTGTAATTAAAGTAAAGGCTGCCTGAATGAGGTGGTGCAAAGAGGAGGATGTGCTTCCCATCTATCGCTCCTATGCAGTTAGGGAAATTCCACCTAGTTGAAAACTTTGAGGCAATATTCCTCCACTCCTGCTCAGTAGGTCTTGCTAGGTGTGTATCCATCATCCACCTGTTAATTGCAGCACATGTGTCCTTGATGGCTTTAGCCACTGTGCTCTTTCCATACGATAGTGGAAGGCAAGCGTTCTGACTGAATTTCCTGAGGCCAGATACCTGTAAAACAAACCTTAATATAAACATTAATTTCTATCTCTTCACAGAAAATGAGTACAGGGCAAGATGGAAATCACTTCGAGACAACTACATCAAGTGGAAAAAAGACAGCAGCTGGCAAGTGGCTCTGGAGCATTGCGTCAACAGGAATGGAAATATGCAGCCGCGATTTCCTTCCTGAATGTATTTCTACAAAATAGAAGGTAATATTTTTTTAGTAATTGTTGTAATGTAGTAATATGTACTAATGCACTTCAAATTAACTTTGTAAAAAAGAGTGCAAGTGACTAAAGTATGACTTGAAGTAGACTTTTAATGGTAGAAAAATAATGGTACTAAACTGTGCATGCTCCTATTTGTCCCTCTGTCTTTTCCCCAGTACAATCAGTAATGTGGATTTCGAAAACTATATGGATGGGTCGATCCATGAAGGTGATTTAGACACACAAATGACTCCAGAAGAGTAAAGCCCAGTACAGCAGAGAATGAAAATGAATAATTTCTAGAATGTCCCCAGAGACCCAGAATAAAAACAAAAAGAGACAACCCAAAAAGTCAGCTCACACAAATTAATGAAAAACATATGGACTTTTTAGTAACACCTACAGTGCCACCAAAACAACATGACGAAAGAGAGCTTTTCCTTTTACGTTTAGCACCTCAAATGAGATCTTTGGGAAAAAGAGAAAAAACCAGAGCCAAAATAGAGATGCTATGCATCCTGGATGACCTGGAGTCAGGCACATCAAGGGCCAGGTGTGCTTAGTTACCACACAGGACCACCACTGTTTGCTAGCTGGAATGCTCCGCATTAAAATATTGTGGCACCCTCAGCTTCCTCAACATATCTTGTGCCGTATTCATAGTTATAGTTCAATGAGATGTAATTAATACATTTATATTTACTTATTTGTCTGTCTGTCTTGATTGATTTGGAAATTGTTTCCTAGTCCTGTTTTATGTTTTAGATTACATAACTGACACTGTTACTGCAATTATTTTTATTAAAAGTATGCATGTGCACATTAGTGTGCTATCTTGTCATATGGCTCACATGGTAAAATCTATTTAATGAATTATTGTTTTGAAATAATTTATTCTTTCTTCCAACAACATAATATTATTTCAGTGAATATCAGATATACAAATAGGTTAAATAGAAAATTGCTTTCCTCAATGTCACTGCAACTTTTTCCTTTGGCCCAATTGGTGTCTGGTAATTTATAGACATCCCTGTGATGTCAGGTCCAATAATTGACAGCAGGTCCTCCATTTGCTGTGTACTCATTCTGAAGTACTGCAGGTGCTTATTCGCAGCTTAAGGGGGTGGTAAGTGCCATATTGAATCCTTTTTTCCATTTAGAGGGTGTACCCAAATGCCATTGACTCCTTTTTTTTTTTTTTATCCTACGACGTAAGAGTAGCAGTGCAGCAGTTTTTTTTTTTGTTGTCAGACAAAATTTGATCTGTTTGGGAAGAACAGGAAAAACAGGGTATTCATACAAAAACCTTAATACTGTAAGTTACATAAGTTAATTATATACACACATTTATGTCTGATGTATTGTTCGTGGCAACTAGGGAATAGACAGCCCTGTATATTTTTATATCTAGGACTATACAAACATTCAGTGGCCACACCATGGTATTATCTATGATATTCTTTATTTTCATCAGATCAGATCAGATTATTTTATGTAAGAAATATATAGTGCATCATTTAGAAGTGAATATTCTTTATTACCATGAAAATTTAAATATATATAAAAAAATATATATTATAAACTGTACACTAGTACATTTGTTTCATTTAAATAAAAACTTTACAAGGTGTTTGTTTACGTTTTCACTCAAGCTGGCTAGCTAAAACGTTAGCGAAACAAATAATACTACTACTGTGTAACAGTTGCCTAGACAACAGATAGCCTACAACAAAACAGTAACAGACTTAACATAATACAGATTATTTTCTTTGATTAACGTTCAAAACTCAGCTATTATCAATAAAAATAAATAAATAATGATAATAAATGAAGTTAAAACTCACCCATCTTCTTCTTCCGTTTTTTGGCGTGTTACATCCTGTGTGCATATCGCCACCTACTTTTGCTGTTATGCAGTCATGGTTTATTTATCAATTTATTCTTTGTTTATGCTTTTCCTGTTCTTACACACGTATATCTAGCGTAGCGTTAGTTCTGGCAGGTCACGTTAATCAATCTCGCATCAGCTGACTCTCAGCTGATCCCCATCAACCTATGGGAATACGACACCTATCTAAGCATTAATATATAAGGTCCCGCAGTAGTATCAGCAGTTTTCGCATTGCTTGATAGCTAATTACCCTCCTCCATCCCCAACTCCTCCTCTGTCAGTCAGGATTCAGTCTTCTGATTCTCCTTTGAATCAGACTAATTCTAAAATGTGTACATAACATTATTGAACTTTAACGATATCTGCAATACATTTATGTTGGTTCTGTTCTGTTTACCCTGGGGGGGTTATCACTGCTCTCCCTGCTCTCATCCATGCTAGGCTGCATGGATGCACAGGGAGTTCTTGCCCAGAACAGAACCATACCGCCAATCCAAACTGTAAGCTAATTGTCAATCATCTTTGACGATAGTGGTCCTGACAGAAATACACAAATATTCCTACTTAAATAATTATTCAATGCTCCATCCCATTCCTTCTCCCCTGGCTCCACCTGGCGCTGCGTGTTCAGCTCCTCCAGATTAAATCCATGGTCTCCTAAAGATCCAGAATAGAATAGAGCATCCGCATTCTATATTTAAATCCTTTCACTTAACCCAGTAGTATATGTATTTTATTAATATCCTGTATCCTTCTCGATCCTGTATAACTCATATCCTAATAAGTATTCCAAATCCTCATTTACCTTACCCTTTTTGTTTAAATATGATATGAATTCCTTTCTTTCGTCATCATACCTTGTACAATTATATATTACATGCTCCACTGTTTCTTTCTCTCCACATATCCCACATAGACCAGTCTCATGTATTCCAGTTATGAACAGTGAAGCGTGTCCAAGTTTCATCCTAGTTATAATAACCTCTTCTTTTCTATTTCTACCACTTACACTTCTTCTAGTGTTAACCATTTTTTTTAAATATTATATAAATGCCTTCCCTTATTATCTGTATTCCATATGTCCTGCCATTCTTTAATAATATTTTCCTTAATGATAGTTTTAATTTGACATTTACTTAAAGGAACATTAAAATCCATTATATTTAAAGCATTTTTTGCTAATTCATCAGCAGATTCATTACCAGCTATTAATGTAAATATTTCACACATCAAATCTTCTCTAGAAGATTGCCGAGTAATCAATGATGTTAAAACAGAAGCAGAGGCAGAGCATACCACTACTCTGTCTGGTCTTACTTCCTCTACCCATGTTAGTCCTATTACGATAGCAACCATTTCAACAGTATATATTGACAATTTAGATGTTAATCTTTTTGTTATGGATATTTTAAAATCTGGAATATATACTCCTACTCCTGTAAACCCTGTTTTGGGGTCTTTAGATCCATCAGTATAAATGTGCATACTTGCATAAAATCTTTCCTGTATATATTTATTTACATTATAGTTAATACTACCCATTTCCTCCCATTCTCTTTTCTTATCCAATATCTCTAGATCAATTTTAACATCAGGAATTATCCATGTTGGTACCTCTCCCCCTACAGGTGACACACTACATTTGTTATCTGATATTTCTCTGCTAACTGATTTATATTCCATTCATATCCTCTCCCTTTGTTATTTGAGCAATTATTTAAAATATCTTTAGCTATATGTTTTCCAGAATAACTCTTTAAAGGCAACCAATATACCAAAGACAATTTAACTCTCCTCAAGCTCAATGGCATTTCATTTGCCTCTACTAATAACGCATTGATTGATGTTGTTTTAGTTGCTCCTAAGCATATTCTAAGAGCTCTATACTGTATCCTATCTAGACTCCTTAATAATGTTTCTGATGCTGAACCATAAATCACGCATCCGTAATCTATTATAGATCTTATCAAAGCTTGACATATTGTTAACATTGATTCTTTTCCAGCTATTGCCCTCACCCACCTTGCAGCTCAGAACTTCATTAGACGGCGCTGCGCTTCTCATCCTGTGTGCGACCGGCTTAATACATATTTTGAAGCGTCTCGTCCATCAGCTACTGTAATGGTGGAGCGACAGCGTGTAAAAAAAAATCAGCTTTTAAAAAAGGCGCTATGCAACTTCCGCTCTTTTGCGTTCCATATTGGAACGTTCGAACATCGCGATGACGTCACTCGCCGGTCCCTTTTAAGCGCATACTCGCAGAGACGCCTGACTCGCCTCACAGTTGGTGATAGTGAGAATCTGAGCGTTTGTGAAGACTGTCACTTGAGGGAGTTTGCAGAGCGGTAGAAAAACTCTACTTGCGAAAGTCTGCAGACAGAAACGCATAAAGTACAAACTAAGTCTACACAGAGTTCGTCCACTCTCGGCATCAAGATGTGCACAGCGTCTGAGTCCGAGCCCGAGCCTAAGGGCGGTGTTCATGAGACAGAAGCGGCTGCGGGGCTGGATAACATCAGCTTCTGCAGCGGCTTCTGTCAGTGGATCGACGAAGAGTTGCTCGATTCACTGCCAGCTGACTCCCAGCAGCCTGTGGAGTCCACAAGGGCTTCAGCAGCAGAAGCAGAAGCAGTGAGTGCACTGCCTTCTGCTGAGAACAGCCCAACAGGTCCGATTAGTATTAACAACTGAACTTTCATCTCATTATAAAATAAGCTACATTTTATTGCTGGGAAATACTTGCATTATATATTTTTCTGAAACATATTGTAGTCAAATATTTGCATTACAGATTTTATTGATTAGTTATGAAAATTACCATTTGTATAACCACAGTTTTACTACAAGTACCATAGTCAAACTATGGTTAGCATAGCAAAAGTATGGTTAATTTGTGGTTACCATGGTTTACCTATAGGAACCATGGTTAATTTTCATAGGGGGTTATGCACCGTTCACACAAAACACGTTTCTGAATTCCACTGAGTTGCTTTTTCATTGTTTTCTATGTTAACATGCACTAGATAGACACCTTTTGATGTTTAATCTGTGGTCAGATACTGTATGTGGTCTAATACTGTCCTCTTTGTTTTTCTTCAATGAAGAAATTCCTACTCGAGGCAACAGGAGGAGCAGAATCCATGCCTTCTTCAAGAGAGCATGGAAAGCCGTTATGAAGCCGTTCCTCTGTTGCAGACGGACAAGAGTGGAGTCCAATCCCGAACCAGCGTCTGTCCCGGGCCCCTCTGGGCTCCAGAACGTGCCTGACACCGAGCTGGCATCTGCCCCAGGTCTTCCCAATTGGGAGCCAACTACTGGTGAGTGTGATGTCAGCTCTACCCTTATTTTCTATTATTTTTTAGCTTGTAATTCTGATATCACCTAACATGTAAACTTTAACCATGTACAGAGAGTTTGCTCGTTGTTTAAGAGACATATTCCAGCAGTGCTATTATATAAGACCTGTAATCCTGCAACCTCTTGTGTTTTCCAGAATCTTTGTACAGTTTATACACACTGCAGGATTTGATAGGAAAGGGAAGCTTCGGCAAGGTGTTCAAGGCAATACGAAAATCCGACAGCCAAGAGGTAACATGCTTTCACTGAACACAATCCTTATGTAGAGAACCATGTCCACTCCATTCAAATATGTATGTTTAAAATAAAGTACATAATGAAGAATTTGAGAAAAATTCAATTTTTCATCTCTTTGCAGGTTGCCATCAAAAGACTGTGCAAATGGAACAACAGTCGTTATCTTGAAATTGTAAGTTGGCAAAGATTAAAGAATACATATTTAGTTGACATATTTAAAAGTGCGCACAAACTGCTTCTCTGCGAATTTCACTGTACTTTATACATATAAACAATAGGGAATCTTCTTTTCTGCTAATGTGACCGCACCTTAAGGGTTTTACTGTAGTTAACACACCACAAATATAAGCAAAAGGTAAAGCCTAGAAGTTCCAAAGAGGCTCTAAAAGATACTAAAGAATTGTAAAATCTCTCCGCCTTTTTCCTGTGTAAAAATGGGCTCGGCCATTTGTAAATTCTATGGGTCTAGCTTCCGGTCTCATCCGCGTCCAGCTATTTTTAGCTGTACAAAACAGTTTGCTTTGCTGCTTGATATTGAAAATGGGTGTGTCTTACCATATTATTTTAATGTATTATCTTAATTATGAACACACTGGTTGGTAGTGCAAACAGTTTTACCGTTTACTGCACGTTGTTATTCTCCTCGTTATTTACCTACAGCGGCTAATGAACCAGAAGTCTTGCCCATAGGCTTACTTCCACCAAAGGTGAATAGCTAACTAACCATTTGTTTTCTTTTCCTCTAGCCTGGTTGTTCCATACCTCTGCCTAGAGAAGTGACGCTGATGCTCATGTTGAGGTGTCCTCCAGTAAGCCCCTACGTCATTCAAATGTACGAGTGGTTTGATCGGCCCAAGATCTTCTCTCTTATCTTGGAGTGCCCTCAACCATGCATGGTCCTGCGAAAGTTCATCAATGATTCGTCAGGACTGATCGAACCGATCGCATGCAGCTTAATGCGCCAGTTAGTCTTGGCGGTGCAGCACTGCATAGACCACGGCGTTTTTCACAATGACATCCACGCTGACAACATCCTGGTGAATACAGAGACTCTGGAGCTGAAGCTGATTGACTTCGGTGCCGCTCACCTGCTTGAGGGCGCAGGCTACGACAGCTGGAAATATTTAGGTGAGCTGGCATTTTGTATTTATTTTGTATTGAAAAATATTGGAAAACTAAGTGCGGGAAATGAAATGATCTTGCTTGCAGGAGCAGCAGAGTACTGTCCGCCAGAGGCTTTGTCGGAGCCCAAATACTACGCCGTCCCAACAAACGTCTGGGCTCTGGGCACTACGCTGTATTTGATGGTGAACAGGCGACTGCCCTTTTCCCACGTCCAGGAAACACTGAAAGCCTCTCCTAATTCTTGGAAGTCCAGTGTATCCGTCGGTGAGGAAACAGATACTGATAAACACATGCTAATGTTTCCATATAGCTTAAATTATCAGAAGGTATTTTCATACACGTCTCCTCCAAACTCTTACAGCATGCCGTGATCTGATTGGCCAGTGTCTAAACTGCAATCCAGCGAAGCGGCCGACGTTAGAGGAGATCTTACAGCACCAGTGGTTCAAAGGTCGGCTCTAGAATGAAGGCAGGCGTGGGATTCCCTCTCTCATCTGGGTTATTCTCCATAGAGGTCAAGTACAGTCGTATTTTCAATTCTAAATTACGTTCAGAAAACAAAACAGTTATTGAACAGTACTGAACTGACCGCAGGCCACTTTAATGTTCTGGTCTTATTATAAACAACATAGTAATATAATAATATGACTCGGCTGAAGAACACTGGACTAGACAAGTGGAAACAAGACAAAAATTATACCAAATGTTCTTGAGCCCATGAACCCGAACAGACCTCTAAAGGACCAGTGTGGCCATTTCTAAAAAATGTTAATAACTTTGCAATATCCCAGTCTGGCCCGGTGTAATTTGCCGTGAATGGCACTGAATTGGTCATGATTTTCACATATGAATGCAGCGCTTCCAGGTTCTTCAGTCAAGTAGCTTTTAATGATGGATATAATCTGTGCTGCGTCTCTAATGATCTGTTAAGCTTTACATTTACATTAGCATTGCATTTAGTAATTTAGCAGGTTATAAAAAGAAAACAATAGAAAAAAGTAATAAAAAAGTAATAAAAAGAAAACAAGAAGATAAAATAGAAATAGAATAGACAATGCCAGTGTTAGAGGGTTAATTTTTTTTACAATTACTTTTTTAAAAATAATAGAAATAGAATATACAATGCTAGTGTTAGAGGGTTAATTAAATTTTTTTGTTTAAATAATAGAAATAGAATATACAATGCTAGTGTTAGAGGGTTATTTTTTTAACAATTAAACATTTTAAAAAATAATAGAAATAGAATAGACAATGCTAGTGTTAGAGGGTTAATTTAATTTATTTTTTTAAATAATAGAAATAGAATAGACAATGCTAGTGTTAGAGGGTTAATTTTTTAACAATTTTTTTTAAAGAATAGAAATAGAATATACAGTGCTAGTGTTATTGGGTTATTTTTTAACAATTTAATTTTTTTTAAAGAATAGAAATAGAATAGACAATGCTAGTGTTAGAGGGTTAATTTTTTAACAATTAATTTTTTTAAAAGAATAGAAATAGAATAGACAATGCCAGTGTTAGAGGGTTATTTTTTTTAACAATTTAACATTTTTAAAAATAATAGAAATAGAATAGACAATGCTAGTGTTAGAGGGTTAATTTTTTAACAATTAAATTTTTTAAAAATAATAGAAATAGAATATACAATGCTAGTGTTATTGGGTTATTTTTTAAATTTTTTTTAACAATTTAAATAATAGAAATAGAATAGACAATGCTAGTGTTAGAGGGTTAATTTTTTAACAATTACATTTTTTTAAAGAATAGAAATAGAATAGACAATGCCAGTGTTAGAGTTTTTTTTTTTTTTACAATTTAACATAAAAAAGAATAGAAATAGAATATACAATGCCAGTGTTAGAGGGTTAATTAAATTTTTTTTAGTTAGATTTTTTTTTTTTTTTACAATTTAACATAAAAAAGAATAGAAATAGAATATACAATGCCAGTGTTAGAGGGTTAATTTAATTTTTTTTTAAAGAATAGAAATAGAATATACAATGCTAGTATTAGAGGGTTATTTTTTATTTTTTTTTAAAGAATAGAAATAGAATATACAATGCTAGTGTTAGAGGGTTATTTTTTTTAACAATTTAACATAAAAAAAATAGAAATAGAATAGACAATGCTAGTGTTAGAGGGTTACTTTTTTATCAATTTAACAAATTTATTTAAATAATAGAAATAGAATAGACAATGCTAGTGTTAGAGGGTTACTTTTTTATCAATTTAACAAATTTATTTAAATAATAGAAATAGAATAGACAATGCTAGTGTTAGAGGGTTACTTTTTTTACAACTTAATATAAAAAAAAAGAAATATAATATACAATGCTAGTGTTATTGGGTTATTTTAAATTTTTTTTTTTAAATAATAGAATAGTATAGACAATGCTAGTATTAGAGGGTTAATTTTTTAACAATTAAATTTTTTTGAAAGAATAGAAATAGAATAGACAATGCTAGGGTTAGAGGGTTAATTTTTTAACTTTTTTTTTAAAGAATAGAAATAGAATAGACAATGCCAGTGTTAGAGGGTTATTTTTTTTTTACAATTTAACATTTAAAAAAAGAATAGAAATAGAATATACAATGCTAGTGTTAGAGGGTTAATTTTGTAACAGTTTAACTTTTTTTAAAGAATAGAAATATAATATACAATGCTAGTGTTAGAGGGTTATTTTTTTACAATTAAAAAAAAAGAAAAAAAAAGAAATAGAAATAACATGGTTGGGTCATATTCACACCTTAAACGAATCGTAGCAGAGTTCGTTTGGAAGCGGACCGAAACTACCTCTTCAGCTGGGTCTCGGTACGGTTGTTTGGTCCGCACCCGAGTGCGATTGCTGTACTCACACCTGCCAAAAAGGTCCGCACCCAGAGGGGAAACTCATCAAGACAGGTGTGAACCAAACAAGACAGGTGTGAATACACCCTTAATGGCAAAGTGGTCATATTTCTTTTCGTTTCTTTATTCATTTAATTTAGAAATATGTTTGGAACATTCTATCTTTGTTAAATTCAAGTTTTTGTTTTTTAAAGGAATGACCAAGCGTCCAGCATCAGGAAGCGCCATGAGCATATTGTTTGATCAATTTGGCCTTCTTCTCAAATCAACACGACTTGCCTAAAATAAAATCTATGGATAAAAAAAAAAACACTTCATGCTTTTCACCATATTAATTAAAAAATTTAACCTAGATAAATGTGCGCTATTAGGTGCATATCTGATCGTTTGTGCCGAGAGTGGAAGCTGAAGTGCTTTGCTGGACATGGAGGCGCCAGTGCAATCTCTTTTTTTTTTCTTAATAACAGTGGTAACTAAAAAATACGCTTACGTCATTTTTGCTCATAAAGGTAAGGGTATACATCATTCAGAACTGCAAAGGGTCTACTTTTATTTGTGTGCACTCACAATATCGAGAAAAAGTAAAAAAACTACTTTTGTAAAAAACAAGAAAACAATCAGGATTAGCATTTTGCGTCTCTGACTTGAGCAGGAGGGCTTCACAAAAATGAACCGAAACTCAGCGAATACTTGCCTCATAGATATGATAAACATATCTATAAAATGCTTTGAATTACTACTTTAAAACGTAATAATTCAAATCGAAACAAAAACTCATTCATAATGTAATCCGTAAAGAGGCATTTCTCTCTAAAGGCGAGTCCAGTTGAGGAGATGGCGAGTCAGGATCGACAAATTCATCTTTGTGACACTGACTCAGAAAACACTAGTTTATTAACGAATAATTCAAATATCCTCTCACTATTTTTTTATTATTTTTACTTTTTACTTTTTTGTTGTTGTTTGTTTTGTTTTTTTTGGCCGCTGTGCTAAAATTGTGTTTGCATTCACTATAAATAGCCTACGGCGGCATTTTAGTGCCACGTTGAAAAATAACAAAAAATTAACGTCATAATATTTTAGGAATGTAGTAAAAATAAAAGATTTTATATTATATTATATTATATTATATTATATTATATTATATTATATTATATTATATTATATTATATATTGTGTGAAGTTAATGTGAAAATTCCACCTATTCTCCGCCAAAAAAAAAAGTCTGTGGCATCCAACCTGTCATTCTTCATATTTAACATGAAAAACAGCAATACAACGTAGACTTATTGACATTTTTGAAACTCTGATTGATCGATTTCATGAGACATTCGTTTGACTTAAATTGTTCAGATTTTTTAAACATGCATTCAAATATTCATGTTTATTTCATACTGCAAATATTAAAGAGGAAAATATCATTGATTCATATGCCACTGCTGGCAAATTATCTCACAACAAATTAAAAACCGTAAAAAAATTTTGCATATGGGCAAGGGGCTGACTTGCTACGCCACTGCTGGGAGACAAACTGTAATGTGGCAGGCGCAGACGTCACGTTCAGGCAGACGAACTGTAATGTGGCAGACGCAGACTCACGTTCATGCAGATGAACTGTAATGTGGCAGACGTAGATGTCACGTTCAGGCAGATGAACTGTAATGTGGCAGACGCAGATGTCACGTTAATGCAGATGAACTGTAATGTGGCAGACGCAGATGTCACGTTCATGCAGACGAACTGTAATGTGGCAGATGTAGACGTCACGTTCAGGCAGACGAACTGTAATGTGGCAGACGCAGACGTCACGTTCAGGCAGATAAACTGTAATGTGGCAGACGCAGACGTCACGTTCATGCAGACGAACTGTAATGTGGCAGACGCAGACGTCCCATTCATGCAGACGAACTGTAATGTGGCAGACGCAGCCGTCCCGTTCATGCAGACGATCTGTAATGTGGCAGACGCAGACGTCCCGTTCAGGCAGACGATCTGTAATGTGGCAGGTGCAGACGTCACGTTAATGCAGACGAACTGTAATGTGGCAGACGTCACGTTCATGCAGACGAACTGTAATGTGGCAGACGCAGACGTCACGTTCATGCAGACGAACTGTAATGTGGCAGACGTCACTTTCATGCAGACGAACTGTAATGTGGCAGACGCAGACTCACGTTAATGCAGACGATCTGTAATGTGGCAGGCGCAGACATCACGTTCATGCAGACGAACTGTAATGTGGCAGACGCAGACGTCCCATTCAGGCAGACGATCTGTAATGTGGCAGGCGCAGATGTCACGTTCATGCAGACGAACTGTAATGTGGCAGATGCAGACGTCACGTTCATGCAAACGAACTGTAATGTGGCAGACGCAGACGTCCCATTCAGGCAGACGATCTGTAATGTGGCAGGCGCAGATGTCACGTTCATGCAGACGAACTGTAATGTGGCAGATGCAGACGTCACGTTCATGCGTAATGTGGCAGGCGCAGACGTCACGTTCATGCAGACGAACTGTAATGTGGCAGATGCAGACGTCACGTTCATGCAAACGAACTGTAATGTGGCAGACGCAGACGTCCCATTCAGGCAGACGATCTGTAATGTGGCAG